TGATTAAACCCGTGACACATGTGATTAAACCATTGTCCAGAAGTCACTGAGTCCATGAGACAGCCGCCTGGAGTCCCGAGGGCACAGAGCTGCTTCGGGCTCCCTGCACCCTGCTGGGGCAGCCCTTGGCCACCCTGTGGCAGGGCAGAAAGAGTTACACAGAGCACGTGCAGCAGCGGGCTCAGAGTCCTGTGCATGGGCTGCTCCTGTCCTGGCCACGCACAGTCAGAAAGAGCCATGTCTGCTGGGACAGCACATACGGATAAAGCAGCAGAGAGAGCCAGTGGCGTTTCTTGAGCTCTGGGAAGTACTGGAATGAATGAATAGGAGACAACGTCCTACAAATTGGTTGTGCTATTTGATGTTCACTTAATTAAGACATTCAGTCCTTCTAATGGAAGACGTGAGGAGTGGAAATTACTGGTTTGGGTCGTCTCATAGAAAATGAAAACCAGATCTTGAAGGCATGGGGCCTTTTTATTGTATCTTCTTCAGGCTCAATTTAATTATGCATTACAGGCTACCTTCAATAGTAATTACCATTGTCAGCCTCAATCCCAAATCTTCTCTCTGCCTCGGAGACCGAGACTCCAGGGAGGAGCCGATGGGGCTGCTGAAGCATCACTGAGTGCGAGAAGTTGGTGCTGTGTTTGTGCGTTCAGCACATGCTCTTCCCTGCCCACTGTGTGTCAGCCTTCTGCCGGCTGGCGGGCGGTGGCGTGTGAATGAATGGTGGTCTGTCCGGCCCCTCAAGCCCCGTCCTGCGCTCATGCATTTGTTCAGCCAGCAGTCCCTGCCTGTTTCTCCACACCATCCCAGTGCCACGAATCCAAGGGGACCTGAGAGCCAGTCCTCCAGCGCCACCCTGCTGGCGGTGGCGGAATCCAGGCAGTGTGAATCCAAACTCCCAAGCTGGTGCTTTGACACCATAGGTGTGTCCTGACCTCAGGCGCCCACTGTCCCAAGAGGGGTACGGCTTGCACAGCAGCCCCGCAGCCCCAGGGAAGGAGTCTAGAACAGAAGTGGGCGCTGAGAGCCATGGGGAGAAGGGCAGGTGAGACCAGCAGGGCTTTAAGAGGTGGCATTGGACTAAGGCCTTGTTAGAGGTGGTATTGAAGCGACACCTGACCCCTCATCCCTAACCACTCCATGAATTCTCTGTAAGACTAAAACTGCTCTGTGAGTGTTGTGTGTGGTATAATAAGACCTTGCTTATGTGGTCAGGTCAGGAAATTAATTAGCTTGAGTAACCATCTGTGGATAAAGAGTATACACCAAGGCAACAGGTGCTCAAGGAATCAGACTTGCGCAGCATACCCGTCCTGTCCTGTTCAACTTGGACTGAAACAGACCTCTCTGTGGACTTGAAGGAAGGCTCAGGGAGCCAGCGTTCTGGTGGCCGCCTCCCATATGGGAGCGCCTGGATTGAGTCTGGGCTCCTCTACTGCAAAACAGTGTCCCACTACTGCGCCTGGAAAGGCAGCAGGTGGTGGCTCCAGTACTTGGGTCCCTGCCACCCTCAGGAGAGACCCGGAAAGAGTACCAGGTTCTTGGCTTCGGCCCTGACCGAGCTGTTGTCAGCATCTGGTGAATGAAGCCATCAGTGTAGGGTCTCTCCCTCTGCCTCTCCCCTGCCCACTGTCACTCTACCTTTCAAATAAACAGATCTCTTTTTCTAAAAAAAAAAAAATATATATATATATATATGGCTCAGGATCTACCAGGACTCAGAATAATCATGAACCAGAGGTATAATTAAGATGGCCAGGGTTGGCCGGCGCCGCGGCTCACTAGGCTAATCCTCCGCCTGTGTCACCGGCAACCCGGGTTCTAGTCCCGGTTGGGGTGCTGGATTCTGTCCCGGTTCTCCTCTTCCAGTCCAGCTCTCTGCTGTGGCCTGGCAGTGCAGTGGAGGATGGCCCAGGTCCTAGGGCCCTGCACCAACATGGGAGACCAGGAGGAAGCACCTGGCTCCTGGCTTCGGATCAGAGCAGAGCGCCAGCACGGCCACTTGGGGGGTGAACCAATGGAAAAAGGAAGACCTTTCTCTCTGTCTCTCTCTCTCACTATCTAACTCTGCCTGTCAAAAATAAATAAATAAATAAATAAGATGACCAGGGCAAAATTAGTCTGTAAGATCTTGATTTTTAGCTCATAAACTTGAGACACCCTAGTAGTATTTTGCTGAAAAGGCCTGGAAATGCTAACAGTAGCTTGTACTGTAAGCAAAACTCTCCTATAAATGCCAGTTATGTAAAAGGCCCACTTCCCCAAGACAGCCATGTTCAAGAGCTTTGCACAGGGGCCAGCACTGTGAGATAGCAGGTAAAGCTGCTACCTGCAACACCAGCATCCCCTGTGGGCGCTGGTGCGAGTCCTGGCTGTTCCACTTCCAATCCAGCTCCCTGCTACTGGCCTGAGACAAGCGAAGATTGCCTGAGTGTTTGGGCTCCTGCACCCAGATGGAGCCCCTGGCTCCTGGCTTCTGCCTGGTCCAGCCCTGGCCATTGTAGCCATCTGGGGAATGAACCAGCTGATGGAAGACCTTTCTCTCTGTGTCGCTCCCTTTCTCTGTTACTCTGACTTTCAAATAAATCTTAAAAAAAAAAAAGAGCTCTGCACAGCATGACAAGTTGCTACAGCTCTCTGCTGACTATGAAAAGCATCCTTGTTTAGTACAGAAAATCATAGAACTATAAAATACAGATTAAGCTATAAAATCACCTGCAATTCTGCCTCCCAGAAAAAGCCACGGTAAACATTTTTGTGAATTTCCTGCCCGTTTGAACATTTCCTTGGAGGCATCAGGTAATGACTCAAGTACTTGGGTCCCTGCCACCCATATGGGCGACCTGGATTGGGTTCCTAGTTCCTGGCTTCAGCCTGGCCCAGCCCAGTCTATCCCAGCATGTGAGGAGTAAACCACTGAATCAAAGAGCTTTCTCTCTTTCCTCCTTCCCCTTTGTCCCTTCCAAATAAATAAAATAAATCTTTATTGAAAGACAATTACCATCACCTTTAATGCGGCAAAGCATACCGAAGATTGCTATGCTGAGGGTAGGTGCCTGTGCAGGCACAGACCACGTGGGCCGATGGCCAATGTGCAGCACACTGTGTGACCTTGGCGGGAAATTGCTCAGCAGAACTCCTAGTCTCCCCTGAATTGCAGAACCAGGAGTCCCAGCAAGACGCCAGGCCCGGCTGAAGGAGGACAAGAACCAGAGCAGAGCTGAACCCTCGCACCCGTCATTTTACCTTTGTTAAAGCACCATAGGGACCCAGAGGCCAGCTTTGCCCCAGAAGCAAATGGGCCATAAAAATAGCCCAGTGGGGAGCCCCAGACATTCAAGGGTACTCCCAAAAACTCATGGCAAAATGGAATTTAAAAGTGTTTATTTTGCTACAAGACTTTTTTTTTAAATCCATGCACAATTTTTCAAACTACATATTTTTCCTGAACTTCATGAAGACCCCTTGTGTGCGTGGGTTTCAGAATTTTCTGCATCAAAATAATCTTTCAATTCTATTTTGCCGTGAGTTTTTGGAAATTCCCTCACATACGCTGCACTCCACACCGCTACCTTGCATGTGAGCAGAAGCCAGAAATACTGACGTGTCAATGGAGCACTTTTCTCCATTGACACACGCGTCCAAAAAGGGTACCCATGCCTGCCTCTCTATACTCCAGCCTCCCCTAATTCAAGAGGGTGATTTAAATGTTGGGCAGCCTGCCTCCTGCTGTGGGATGGAGAGAGGCCAGTGGAGGTGGGGGAGCAGAAAGATCTGAGTTTGGATTTTGATTCTGTCACCCTTATCAGCTGTGTGACCCTGCACAGGTGACTTCGCTTCTCTGAGCCACAGTTTCTGAGACTTCTCCTAAAAGGAGTTGACCGTCATCCCTCCGTGTCCTCGGAGGACTAGTTCAGGAGCCCCCAAGGATGTCATGATCTACAGAGCCTCAAATCCCTTACATAAAATGGTCTAGTATTTTCGTATAAGTGACACACACCCTCCCATATACTGCACTTTAAGTCACCAATAGAGTTTCTGTAATTCCTGAGACAGTGTAAATGCTATGTAAACAGTTGTCACATTGTCACAGTGTAGGGAGTTAGGACAAGAGCAAAGTCTGCCCAGGGATTACAGGCACAATTACTTTGATCCACATGTTTTCAGTCCACAGTTGGTTGACCTTGCAGACACGGAAGCAGCAGGTGTGGGGGGTGCCTACCCTTTTAGATGGGAAAATGTAGTGAGGATGACATAAAAGAACACATGAGAAGCAACTAGTAGCATGCCCAGCACACTGTTGGTGCACAGTGATGGTAGGCACTTCTCTGTCCTCAGGGGGATGATCAAGATTCATTTGGGATGCTTTGGAAAGCCCATGCCACAGTGAAGCTGTGGACGCTGGGAGCCACAGGTGTAACGGTGATTGCTGCAGCTGTGGAAACTGGGAGGGCGGGGTCACAAGAATTCCCCTTCCAGCCCGAGTCCTGTCTTCAATTTAGAGGCTTTGCCCAGGATCTGGAGCATCCAGTCTCTGGTGTTTGTCAAGAAACGCCTCTAGAACGAGTTCTGGGGGAGTGTGCAGAGCGTGTTGAAGCATGGGGTTTGACTACAGCACTTCTGGTCTGTGGTCTCATTATGCACCCCTGCCATCTCCCCCCTCCCCCACCCCTGTTCTCTTCCCCTTCCTTGGTGGGGGAATTCTAGTCTGCTTCTCACAATAATCCGGGCAGGGGGCTGTGTCCACCATTTGAATCAGGAAAGAAAGATTCAAGAGGGGTACAGCATGGTCCTGCAATCAGGTATCAGCAGGTGGAATCAGACTCTGCAAACTCTGTGTCCAGCCCGAGCAGGAGACGCAGGAGACAGGAGGGGAAAAGGACCTGACCAGAAAGGAAAGCCAAACACGCCAAAACCATGGCAGAATGTGCTGTGTTCCCGCCGTGGCACCTTGCTATTGCCGACACTCAGTGCTACCCCTCGGTTTCCAGGTACGACAGCTTTGGCCGCCTGACAAACGTGACCTTCCCCACCGGCCAGGTGAGCAGTTTCCGAAGTGATACAGACAGCTCCGTACACGTGCAGGTAGAGACCTCCAGCAAGGATGACGTCACCATAACCACCAACCTGTCGGCTTCGGGTGCCTTCTACACACTGCTGCAAGGTGAGCCGTGTGGGGGTCTGGGAGGCAGAGGGCAGGGACAACGCTCTTGGAGGAGGATGACGGGGAAAGCAAGCATCTGCAGGAGCTGCCCAGGAACCGGCACGCGTTGCACCTGCTTTCTCCCTGCATTGCCACCTCATTCACAACACGCACCAGCCTGAGTCCTGGGGCTTCTCTGCAGAAGCTTCAGTGCAGTCTCCATTGTCCCATCCCATTATCATCAGAACAAAGGGGAGAGAACCCATTAGCTGCTAATCCAGGTGACCTTCCAGTCTGGCCATTCTGCCAGCTCTTGGAGCAAAAGGCTTGTGCTCAGGCTGGGGCCGGTGAGGACGAAGGGCAGAAGTGATTACACCTGATTACGAAAAGGACTTGGGCAGGGGCAGGTCCTTCCTGAAGCGCAGGTGAGGTGTGTGCCCCTGCTCGGAATCCACAGAAAAGAGACGCCCTCCGCTTCCATCCACGCATCCTGGTGTCTTTTAGCGTTGGGCGAATCACGGTGGTGACATCTTGCTGTGACGGGTCTGCCTCCGTTGTTCTTATGGGGCACAGTGAGGCAGAGCAGGGTTTGCAAGCAAGAACTAAGCCATCCCTGCAGCCAGTCTTCCTATCTGCCAGGTGGCTCCTTGCACTCCTAAAGGCTTTGGCCCAGAGCAGGCACAGGACACTGGGCTGGGAGCCAGCGGCCCCAGTTCTAGCTCTGACTCCGCTGCCATAGCCCCCACTGTGGCCCTCGGTATTTTTCTTTGGGGAAAGCAAACAGGCTGAAGCTGTGTGAAACAGTGGGGCTGGTCCAAAGAGCAGGCGTTCTGGGTAGACCCGGGGCCCCTGTGCCGATCCCTCCCAGTGTGCGTTGCATGGAATCACTCCTCTTCTTGGAGCCTCAGTTTCTGCGTCTGGAAAATGGGGCTGAATCGGATGTGGGCACTTCAAAAAGTCGGCCCCACGATTTGCATGTACAAATTCCAGCAGCCACAGATAGACCACATGCAAAAGACGCGTGCCTGTACGGAGTACACGCAGACATTTTTCTTGTCATCATTCCCTAAACAGTACAGTGTAACAACCATGAGGAAACTTAAAAGTTCACCAAAAAAATAGAATTAAAAAATATACATGCACCCTGCCATGAAAAATATTGAAATCCATGCATAATTTTATCATTAGCTAATTTTCCATAAACTTTTTGAAGACCCCTCGTAATAGCTGCCTCCTCGGGCTACTCAGACAATCCATTGGGCCACACAGGTAAAGTGCCCAGCACGTGTCAGGCCGGTGGCACTGCTCAATAAGTACCTATCAGATTGATTAAGTAATCAATTAACTAGCAAGCAGTTTGATTTGCCATGCGGAAACAAGGTACACGCTTACCCACCACCCCTTGGATACCCTTATGTAGTCTTTCAGAGAACTCGAAGAATGAATGGGGTTCACAGAGAAAGTAGAACCAAGTCCTGGACTCCTTCCTCACCGTGCACCTGCAGGAGTGGGCTGGGATGCACTCCAGGAATGCGTACAGGGTCTTGGTCAAACACAGGAGCCACTTGCCAGCCTGCCAGGGTCCTGCCCGGCCAAGGACAGCAGAGTCACTAATATCCTTGGCATCTTGTCCTCGGGGTCTGTTTTCTTCCCTGGAGTTCAAAAACATCTCACCCATCCACTCCATCCTGCCAAACTGGCTGCTGGTCTTTCTCTCAAAGGGGGTGCAGGCGGTCTTACATTTGGACAGCTCTTTTTTTCTTGTTAATCCCCAAGTGCCACATTCCTCAGCTTTAAAATGTGCCAGCAGTTTAATAACAGCTTTTCAGGTTGAGGGGGAAAACAGAGTAGATTGTAAGGCACCATCCAGTTTCACAAACACTAAGAAGTGAAGAGGAAAAGCCCATCTTGGAGCCAGCAAACACAGTACCTGACTTTTCCTCCTTGGCACCTCTGCAAGACCCCTTTCTTTCTTGTGCACCTGGCCTGGCTGCCGAGCTCCGGGGCCACCTCTGCGGAGTCTCTGTGAAAAGCTCTTCGGTTTCATCTTATGCCTGAACTACGGGAAGTGATAAGAAGTGGCTACTAATGAGCCGCGGCCGTGGGAAGTCACAGCCCGCGTTAGATGGGCGCCGTTGGCCACGGGGCTCTGCAGATGCTGCTGCATCCGCAGTCGCCGGTAATGGACGCATGTGGATTCAGCAAGCAGCGGCTTGGAGGGAGAAATTGACACAGGCTCTTTCACTCTGCAAAGCAAGTAAAAGGGAGATTGTCTGGGAATAACGCATGGCAAGGTTGAGACAGATTTTAGAAGGGTGTGTGTGTGAGAGAGAGAAGGGGAGAGGGAGGGAGGCAGAGGGGAGGGAATAAGAGGGAGGAGCCCGGTTGGTGCCATTCTAGCAGGGAAGATTGGGTAAGGGTTTCCCGGGAAAGCTACAACCTAACTGCTTTGCATAGCCTGGAACATATCTCGTTCAATCCAGCAAATATTCACTGAGCACATACACTCAAAAAATAATAATCGCTAACATTTTGGGGCACTTACTAACTACAAAGTCTTTTTTTTTAGCATCTTCCATTCATAGACCTATTTAATTCTCACAGCAAGCCTACAAGGCCGGTGTCTCTCCTACCTCTGTTTTCAGTGAAGGCAATGCGGGTTCAGTAGCCTGTCCCAAGTCACAGCTAAAAGGCTCTTTGGCTCCAAATAGGCTCTCAGACTCACTCTTTTAACTGCTTACCTAAAAGTAGTAAGAGCCTTTATTTGTTAAAGGACCATGATCAGTACTAGAAAAGCTCACCGTGGCCGGTGTGTGAAATGGGGTGGTAGAGATAGGAGAGACAAGAGCTACGCGTGACAGCGAGTGACACAGTGCCAGGTGTGTCAAGCTTGTGCTGGCTGCCTCACTTAGGGCTTCCTGAAAGCCAGGTGCAGCTCTTAGCTCTTCCTACCAGTTATTCACTAGAGACGCTGGCACCCCTATAGAAAGTCATTGTGCAAGGGCACGGGTATGATCCCCAGTGCACAGGCCAAGCAACAGGGCCAGGCCACGGTCTGAGAGCTGGAACTTGAACCTGCGCAGCATGGCTCCAGAGGCCGTGTTTCTGATGCCTGGGTAGTAGTGCCTCTCACAGGCCGCGCTTGGGTATTTGAGATTTGTTGGGTAATGCTTCTCCAGTGCAAGACCCCTGATGAGGCCCCCGTCACTGCTAAGGAGCACATAGGAGACAGTAGCGTGTCTTCCAGCCAGACGAGCAAGGAAGCTTCTGGAAAGCGGTGAGGTTTGCACAAAGCCTTGAAGGAAGGACTTGAGTGAGCGTTTGCCCAGGCGAGGGGCGGTGGGGACAGAGGGTGCAGTGACGAAGGGTGACAGCAGAGAGCTCAGCCAGACTCCGAGGCCTGGTTCCTACCTCCAGACGAGAACTCCATGTCCCCAGACTCTTCTGGCTAAGATCCAAATGAAAATGTTTTCATCATATTTAAATGTTCAAATCAGATGTGTTTTTAAATCATCATATGTACAGGACAAGCATATAAAATATATGCAGTTTATATGTATTTTCTGTGTGTGTGTGTGTGTGTATATATATATATAATAAACAGACACAGTGGGGAGAGCATTCTGTCAGTGACTTAAACACTGGAGCTGTTTTTCACCTTGTTACACGTTTTTACGTCATTACCCTAGGGTATATCAAGAGCCTTAGAAACATTCAACCCTTGACTCCAATAATCCCACTTTCAGAGGCCTAATTTGGTTAAATAATACAAAATGAAGACATCAACTTATCCTTGAAAAAACACTATAATTTAGCTATCATTCACATACTATAAAGCTCAGTGACTGTTAGTATATTTACAAAGTTGTGTAACCAACACCACTTTCTAATTCTGGACCCTTTCTATGACCCAGAAAGAAATCCCACACCCCGTTCGCCCTCTCTCCTCATCCACACTTGGCCCTGGCAGCCACCAACCTGCTTTGTGTCCCTGTGGAGTGACCTATTCTGGACACATCCTGTAAATGGACTCATAAAACAGGGGGCCTTTCTGTCTGATTCTTACCCTAGTGTAATGTTTAAAATGCATTTACTTGTAATGTGGATTGTGATTGTGTAAAACTAGAAATAAACTAGATATCTGTTTAAGGCTTGGTTTAATAGAGTATGTCTATACAATAGAATACTATTCAGTCATGAAAGTACATTTTTATGAAAAATATTTAATGACAGTATAATACATTGACCAATGGGATACTCCATTAACCACTACATTAAGCTATAAATGCTTTGGGAAATATCCTAAAAACCATAAGCCAATAAAACACCTCCAGGAAGCTTTTGAGGGGTACTGAGGTTATAGATCTCCATATACCAGGGATCTTCCAGAAGTTCATGGAAAATGTGTCTTATGAAAAAAAAAAAAAAAAAGCATGGGTTTCAATTGATGCTTCAAAATCCACTTATCCTGTAATTCTTTTTCTACAAACTTCATGAAGTACCCTTGTAGGTTCCTGGTCTTCTTCAGGGGTAGCATCTTGCTTCTGTAGTTAGAAAGGACAAGATTTCAGATGCACACCACTGCCCCCATCCCAGTGCCTCCTGAGCAGTCTTTGTGTCTCCTGTCCCTCAGACCAAGTCCGCAACAGCTACTACATCGGGGCCGATGGCTCCCTGCGGCTGCTGCTGGCCAATGGCATGGAGGTGGCCCTGCAGACCGAGCCACACCTGCTGGCGGGCACCGTGAACCCTACCGTGGGCAAGAGGAACGTCACCCTGCCCATCGACAATGGCCTCAACCTGGTGGAGTGGCGGCAGCGCAAGGAGCAGGCTCGGGGCCAGGTCACTGTCTTCGGGCGCCGGCTGCGGGTGAGCGAGGCCTCTGGAGGCGGCTGCATCCCTGGGGGGGCGGGGGGGGGGGCATGGGGGATTGCGGGGACAGGCCTGGAGAACTGAACTCTGCTTCTGAGACTCTCCCTGGGACCTCAGTTCCCGCCTCTGAAAAGGGGGACACCTGAACACCAGAAGCCGGGGAGTAAGAGCTCGGGGGTATCTTTTCAGTTTCACCTTCTAGAAAGATCGCCGGCCATGGTGTTAGCCCAGTCTGGGCCGAGTTTCCCATTCCTCTTCATCCCCAAGTGAACTTGGGCAAGTCTGGGTCAATGAGACCGATTTCACCAGCTGACACCAGGATGAGAGGCACCACATACAGTGTCTCACACCAAGAGCCTTGTGCGCTAGCTGCTCTGGTCATTGCTACGGCTGTGATTGTTGCCACCATGGCTGGGCTGGGCTGCCCTGAGCCACGGTCTCGCCCTTCCTCGGCACAGCCTCGGCTGCTAATGGAGTGCCAGGGCCTCTCCAAGGCTCCCATTGCCTGGGTCTGGCCCCGCGGCCTGGCATTTCAGAGCACTTGTCAAGATGTCAGATCCTGAAGCAGGGGCCGCTCTGCCTCATTTCTCATGTTCCTGTGGACGGTGGCCTCTGCTCCAGTTTCTTTTCTGGCTTTTTTATTTTTTTAAGATTTTGTTGTTGTTCTTGTTTTTTGAAAGTGAAATTACAGAGCGAGAGATTGAGATCTCCCATCTGCTGGTTCACTTCCCAAATGGCCACAATGGCCAGGGCTGGGCCAAGCCAAAGCCAGGAGCCCAGATCTCCATCCAGGTCTCCCATATGGCTGCGGGAGCCCAAGCACTTGGGCCATCTTCTGCTGCTTTCCCAGGTGCATTAGCAGGGAACCGGCTCAGAAGTGGAGCCGCCGGGACTCGAACTGATGCTATCGGGAATGCCAGCCAGCATCATGGGTGCTGGCTTAACCAGCTGTGGCACAGCACCAGCCCAGCACCCAGCTTCCTTTCCCTCTAGCTTCAGAAGAGCAGGTGGCAGGCAGAATGACTCGGGCTGGCTTGCGGTGTGCATCTTACAGATGCCAGGTGCCCAGCAGGCCCTCACTGAGCTGAGGTGCAGCACGGTGCTGAGCTAGGTGTGCCCTACATTCTCACAGCTGCAGGAACATCCTCGTAGCAACCCAGCCCCACGCCCCTGCGTTCCTTCCTCCTTCAGGAGAGAAAGTTCACCTGAGCCCCTCTTTTGTGCACAAGGCAACCACAGTCCAGAGAGGGTAGGAGTTTTTCCAGAGTCACACAGCTAAGCAGCAGTAAAGACAAGAAAATAGAGCCACAGCAGACCTAGAAATGTGAAGTGGCTTATCCACTTCCACACCACCAGGACCCAGAAAGCCAGGCTGGCTCTGCTTCCTGAACAGCCAGGAGCGGTGCCAAGGACTCTGGCAGTGGAGAAAACAGCCTCCCACGAGCTCCCTAGAAGGCTTGGCCATCTCTGTCCTCTGTGGCCTGCCACCATCCGTGGCCTCGCTGAGCGCCCTGTCTGGATTCTCAGCACCCATGAGGCAGGGTGCTGACCGGGGACTTTGGCCTGGCTTGCATTCCTGCTGTGCCGCCTGTGTAGTACTGAGCTCCTTCTCTGAGCCCGAGGCTCCTCTGCAGAAACCACCTAAGACGTTCAGAGGGCCTGGCCCGGCGCCACTGCCGGCTGCCGGTGCTCCACCAACGACACCCGTGAGTTCCAGTAGGATTTCCTCTCTGCAGCCTGAAGTGGACTCCAAGTTCCGCAGGGTTTCATCGGTCCCTCGCCCAGCCTGAGACCGATGATGTGCTAGACGGGTGGCCACATCTCCACGGCCTCCCAAGATAAATGACCACCCACGGTGGCAGCATGTGGAATTAGAACGAGAGCCGAGCGTGCCTTCCCCTAATAGAGCTCATTTTTTATACAGCTGGGAACTTTTTTAATAAAGAAAGATGTAAAATAATCTCATTGCCGCCACGGCCGAACACAGGAAGCATTAGGCGATTCCCCAGTGAGCTGCTTAATTCAATTTTATTAATTTTGCCACGGAGGTGCAGCTCTCCTTAACTTGGGGTCCTCCAGGGGGTGAGGGGCAGTGGCACCGCCTGGGAAGGATGGGAGGCTTTGGGGGCCCCCGGCACTATTGCTGGTGCAGCCCCTCGCTCTCCCTTTGCCTGCTCTGCAAAAAACACAGCTTCAGCCTGCGCCACCTCTGATTTGTCCCTGGAATTGTCTGCCACCCTGTCTGTGCTTCTGCAATTGTGTTTGATGACCCCAGGCTTCTCTGAGCAGACCAGTCACCACTAACCTCGACATCTCCTCACCATCGTCAGCAATCTGTATCCTCAAGGCCTGAGAGTTTGTACGGGGAGGAGGAGGAGACACGCAGCTCTCTCCCTCTGAGAAGGGGCTTGACCGTTGGCTCTCACTTCCAGGAAATGATTGTAGTCATTTATGTGGCGCCTTCTGCATGCTTCGTTCTCTGCTAGGTGGTGCATTCAAGTTTCTTCAGTTCACACAGGGAGAAACTGAGATGCAGGGGAGGGCAGGCACTGCCCACAGTCTCAAGGAACAGCTGCTCATGGGAGTGGGGAGGGGAACTGGAATCCCGGCCTTAATACTGAGGCTAGCACCCTTTTCATTTCCAACCAGACAGGCCCCCAGGGCTCTTTCATTGCATCCGGCCTCACGTGCCCTTCTGCTTCATGTGAATGAATTCTCTGCTTTCCTCTTGGGTCTTCTTTACGACTTGTCAGACTTAAGCAGTGGGGAGCCATTGTTGTGCCATAGCTGGTAAAGCTGCCACCTGTAGTGCCAGCATCCCATATGGGCACTGTTTCAAGTCCCAGCTGTTCTACTTCCAATCCAGCGCCTTGTTAATGTACCTGGGAAAAGCAGTGGAGGATGACCCAAGTGCTTGGACCCCTGCCACCCACATAGGAGACCCAGAAGAAGTTCCTGGCTCCTGGCTTTGGCCTGGCCCCGCCCCAGCCATTGTGGCCATCTGAGGAGTGAACCACCAAAAGGAAGACCTCTCTCTCTCTCTCTAACTCTGCCTTTCAAATAAACAAAATAAATCTTACAGTGGAGCCAACACTGTGGCACAGCAGGTAAAGCTGCCACCTGCGGCACTGGCATCCCATATGGACGCCAGTTCAAATCCTGGCTGCTCCATTTCTGATACAGCTTCCTGCTAATGCACCTGGGAAAGCAGTGAAAGATGGCCCAAGTGCCTGGACCCCTGCCATTCATATGGGAGACCAAGAAGAAGCTCCTGGCTCCTGGCTCCTGGCTCCTGGCTTCAGCCTGGCCCAGCGCTGGCTGTTGTAGGACCTGTGTTTCTGCTTCAGAGTACCTGGCAGTGTTTGTGAGGCAGAAGGGGCAGAGCCAACCACAAAAACAGGCCCCTGAGTTGTATTTCTTTATTGAAATCTGACAGCCCCGACTTACTGCCGCCCCTGTGGAAGCCTGGTATTTCTGAGTGAAAGGAAACTGAGTTGTGTCCTGAGCTAGCAGCCCATGTGGAGGCTCCACAAGGGGCTGCCCGTCCTGAAGGCAGGAGCGAAGTGTCCCGAAGCTAGCAGTCAGCCCGTGGCCAGAGCAGCCACGCCAAACCCAGGCACCTCTGCCTCTCAGGGCCTCCAGGAGGAAGATGTCCCAGGAGGAGACGGAGGTGATGGAGAAGCCCTGGGGGTGGTGGCAAGGGCAGGAGAGCCTACCCAGGGCTTGGAAAGTCCAGAGCCCCCAAAAGGGCATGGCTGGGCCCGAGGACCACTGGGTGTTGGCCCGTTGCCATGGTGAGCTCCAAAGCCAGCCTCAGTCACGCAGCAGCCATGAGACCCAGAGCAAACGCCTGCATGTCCATGGGTTTGGTCTCCTTAGTGTCAAACTCGAGCAGTGTCTGTCCCAGGATAGATGGGTCAGGCCTGGAATAGCTGAGCCTTCATCTGCCTTCTTCTCTATGTCTCTCCCTGGGAAGCATCTCTTGAGGGTCACATGGACGATTTGCTCACACAACATCTGCATTGTCTGTATCCTCGCAACAGCCCTATGCAATTGGCATTACTATCCCGATTTTATAGATGAGGGAACTTTCCAGAGCTGACAAGTGACAGAGCCAGGACTCAAACCCATGTCTATTGATGCCCACGTCTGTGCTGCCTCCTCTGCCCAAGAGATTCTGGGCTCAGCCGAGAGCCAGGGTAGTCATTAGACCAAAGTTCTCAACGTGCAGATTAATTGTGTCTTTCCTCCCTTGCTCCTCTCTAGGTTCACAACCGAAACCTCCTGTCCCTGGACTTCGACCGCGTCACACGCACAGAGAAGATCTATGATGACCACCGTAAGTTCACCCTGCGGATCCTGTATGACCAGGCGGGCCGGCCCAGCCTCTGGTCACCGAGCAGCAGGTTGAATGGTGTCAATGTCACGTACTCCCCTGGGGGCCACATTGCCGGCGTCCAGAGGGGCATCATGTCTGAGAGAATGGAATACGACCAGGCAGGTCGCATCACGTCCAGGATCTTCGCTGATGGAAAGACGTGGAGCTACACGTACTTAGAGAAGGCAAGTGTCTACCTCCCCCCGGCCCTGGCCTTGCCATACAGAAGGTTCACCACTGTGATTCAACCCATGGCCAGGCCTAGCCTGGTCACCTCCATGGAATAGATCTTACCCGTGTGGCCCCCAAAAGGAAGCGTTCAGGAAAATCTGCCGCCCATAGCCAAAGGCTCCTAGGGAGTGTCTCATGGGGCCTGGGGATGGTTTGGAAAATAGCAGTCCTTCTAGGGCTAGTCCTGGGGCAGGAGAATGGGAAAGTCCTGCCTATAGCGATAGAGCTGGGCTCAGGCCTAAATACTACCAGACTTAGAGAGCAAGAGGGCAGGGCTGCTCCTGGGGCTAGGGCACATGGCATGACCCATCACAGAGATCCAGACAGAAGCCTGGGGATGAGTACGTACTGGGGAGGTCTTAACCCTGGGCCTTGAGTGCTGGGCACGGTCTTGAGTGCCCAGCACGGTCTTAGTGTATCCCTCCTGCTTCAGGGTAGGATTCAGTTCATCCCAGAGGCTGGGAATCAGGGAAGACCTCACATCACAAGTTGGCCCTAAATAAGTGAAAATGGTAGCTTTGATCCTCGATGCCTCCAGGCCTGTTATCTGCTGACTTTGCCCCCCAAGCAAGAGTCCACACTCCATGCCCCAGTTCTGGTACCCAGATCTCTGCTTTGTTGCTTGCTCCCAGGTACCTGCCCCAGGGCCCAGGCTGTCCTCTCTCCTGTGCTGAGTCTCTCAGAGAGTAATGTGATGCTGAGAGAGACCCTGGAGGCCATCCAGCACTGTGAAAATCCAACTCCAGGGTGGGGAGGGCTTTCCCAGGGCCACACAAGGAGTTCATTGTTACAAACCAGGTTTTCCCATTCCCATCACAGCCCACCCCACCCCAGGGCGGGCCTGTGGCCTATTAGCGCATAAATGACTGTGTAAAGTCATAAACAGCTTTCTTCTCAGACAAGGTCCTGATGCTGTAGGTCTAGGGAGTCAACAGAAGCTGTTCAGCGGGCAGAAGACATTGTCTTCTGTCTTTGCTGTGTTTTAGGGAACTCCTTCCCACTGGAATAGGAAGATTGATTTAATTTAAACAGTCCAGAGCAAGGAAGCCCGTAGGGACGCTGTTGCAAACACTCCAGGCCACACCCCCCTTTCACACACAAGTGGCAGGTGCATACCACACACAGGGGCAGACACACAAGGAGGCCCAGCACAGAAGTCCTCAGTGTTCTGGGGCCGCGGGCCCTGCCAGGCCAAGGAGTGGGAGCAGACCCTCCCCGCCGGCCCATTTGTCGCCTGCTTGCAGCTTTGTGTGGCGTGCTGGTTGGGCAGCGTGGTTGGGGCCTGGTTCAGGAGGACCACTGTTGTCCTTGCACTTTTGTTCCCTTGAGCCTGAGACCCACAGAACCGCCCCCCTCCCCAGCCTCCCTCACCCTTGGCCTTCCTCCACCCTGCAGTCCATGGTGCTGCTGCTGCACAGCCAGCGGCAGTACATCTTCGAGTTCGACAAGAATGACCGCCTGTCTTCCGTGACGATGCCCAACGTGGCCCGGCAGGCGCTGGAGACCATCCGCTCAGTGGGCTACTACAGGAACATCTACCAGCCCCCCGAGGGCAACGCCTCGGTCATCCAGGACTTCTCCGAGGACGGCCACCTCCTCCACACCTTCTACCTGGGCACAGGCCGCAGGGTGATCTACAAGTACGGGAAGCTGTCGAAGCTGGCCGAGACGCTGTACGACACCACCAAGGTGAGCTTCACCTACGACGAGACGGCGGGCATGCTGAAAACCATCAACCTGCAGAACGAGGGCTTCACCTGCACGATCCGCTACCGTCAGATCGGGCCCCTCATCGACCGGCAGATCTTCCGCTTCACCGAGGAGGGCATGGTCAACGCCCGCTTCGACTACAACTATGACAACAGCTTCCGGGTGACCAGCATGCAGGCCGTGATCAACGAGACCCCGCTGCCCATCGACCTGTACCGCTACGACGACGTGTCGGGCAAAACCGAGCAGTTTGGGAAGTTCGGGGTCATCTACTATGACATTAACCAGATCATCACCACGGCGGTCATGACCCACACTAAACACTTCGACGCCTACGGCAGGATGAAGGAGGTGCAGTATGAGATCTTCCGCTCGCTCATGTACTGGATGACCGTGCAGTATGACAACATGGGGCGGGTGGTGAAGAAGGAGCTGAAGGTGGGGCCCTACGCCAACACCACCCGCTACTCCTACGAGTACGACGCCGACGGCCAGCTGCAGACGGTCTCCATCAACGACAAACCGCTCTGGCGCTACAGCTATGACCTCAACGGGAACCTGCACCTGCTGAGCCCGGGGAACAGCGCCCGGCTCACCCCGCTGCGCTACGACCTCCGGGACCGCATCACCAGGCTGGGCGACGTGCAGTACAAGATGGACGAGGACGGCTTCCTGCGGCAGCGGGGAGGCGACGTCTTTGAATACAACTCAGCAGGCCTGCTCATGAGGGCCTACAACCGGGCCGGCGGCTGGAGTGTCAGGTACCGCTACGACGGCCTGGGCCGGCGCGTGTCCAGCAAGAGCAGCCACAGCCACCACCTGCAGTTCTTCTATGCAGACCTGACCAACCCCACCAAGGTCACCCACCTCTACAACCACTCCAGCTCTGAGATCACGTCCCTCTACTACGACCTGCAAGGCCACCTCTTTGCCATGGAGCTGAGCAGCGGCGACGAGTTCTACATCGCTTGCGACAACATCGGGACCCCCCTTGCCGTGTTCAGCGGAACAGGCTTGATGATCAAGCAGATCCTCTACACGGCCTATGGGGAGATCTACATGGACACCAACCCCAACTTCCAGATCATCATCGGCTATCACGGCGGCCTCTACGATCCGCTCACCAAGCTCGTGCACATGGGCCGCCGGGACTACGACGTGCTGGCCGGACGCTGGACCAGCCCCGACCACGAGCTCTGGAAACACCTCAGCAGCAGCAACGTCATGCCGTTCAACCTGTACATGTTCAAAAACAACAACCCCATCAGCAACTCCCAGGACATCAAGTGCTTCATGACAGGTGAGCACAGGGCTCCCTCGGAGCCGGGGAGGACCCAGTCGATGGCTCTGGTCATCTGGCGGGACACCTCCCTTGAGAAAGCTGCCATGGGGTGGTGGGAAACATGGACCTTCCCTGAGTTTGGCATTTGCCAACGTGTATTTGAAAAATCACTAGTTCGGAGAATACTCGGGGTGGGTGGGGATGGTCCTGGCATAAAAGCAATTTGACAGAGCTGCTACCATTTTAAAATTTTCATGATACATTTCAGTTTATGAAAGGCTCTGAGAAGTCCTACAGTAAAAACTGTCTAATATACTTACTCACTGTTTCTCAAGCTCACCTGACCGTGAAACCCTTTTTTTCACCATGAAATTCCAATATCTCACTTTGGGAGTTTCTGACATAGAGATTGAGCTGGCCATGAATTCCTGATAAGTTGGGTTAAGGTATGGCTGAAACAGACAAATAAAAACAATTCTCTATTTGTGATAATGTAATGGAAAATTCAGACACTGGAGTCAGAACCCAGTGAAGGAGCCACCATTTCTAAGCTATGACTCATTATGGTAATGATTCAGTTGCCCTGAATTCCAGCTTCCTAATCTTAAACTCAGAATCCTACCTTGACTCTGATACATGAAATATGCATAGTCCAAGCCATAGAGTAACCACTAAAACCATAAAAGCTGAAGACAAACACATTACTAATAAGTCAGTAGTGCAGATAAAACAGAAGAGTAGAAAATATCCAACCCAAAGAGGACAGGGAGAGGGCGCTGGGGGAGCAAAGAGCACAAGTGCGCCCTGGCAGGGTGGCGGCTGGGGCGCACCGAGACGCCTGCTGTGCCTGGCCCAGCGTGGCCCCCCTCCAGCTGTGGGCAGGTACGTGCGAAATAAACCTGCCGATGAAACATCCCTCTTCCTCCATGTCTCTGTCTTCTCTGTTTCTTTCTCCTTCTGCCTTTTGAATAAGTGAAAAGAAAGAAAAATCACAACCTGTTTTTAAAAAGAGAGGGAGAGTGACTCAGGGTCTTTTTACATTCGGCGCCTGGCTGCTCCCCCATTCTGCCCTGTGATGCAGTCCTCTTGCTACCTCTCCAATGTCAGTTCCCTTCATCCCCAAGGGCCTCCCCTGTGCGGCCACTGTTGGAGGCACCGGGGGTTGAAAGGTGATCTCTCCCCTCCAGGGATTCCTGACGCTAAAGGAGAGACCTACCAGTGTTATCGGGCATGAGCGGGACCACGAAGGTTTGCAGAGCAGGCCCAGGAGCACAGAGGCCCTGCCTGGGAGGGTTCTGGGAAGCCATCCCTGAGCAGCTGACAGCAGGCCGCCTCCTAAGTGGTGCCCGTCAGGTGACGAGGGAAAGGCACACCAGCCAGCGGGAACAGCACGTACAGAAGTCCAGAGGGTGCAGCGTGTGTCACTCACACGAGTGCCCTCATGGACATGGCTTGCTGAGTCCCAGGCTTGCAGGCCCTGTCTGGCCCTGTTGCTGCTGACAGCAATAGAAGAATTCTTTTTCAGGGAAGAATCCCAGGTTGTCGTGTTGATCAAGGGGGACCCGAACGTGGGGGAGAAGGGAGAGAGCGAGGTGGCACTCAGGTGTGGTGAAAACATGCTCGGGGCCGAGGGGTAAACATGAGCACGTTGACAGTGCTTCACAGCATCCGCTGAGCTCAGCTTGGCTGCTAGCTCCAGAGAAAGCCGACAGATTGAGATGACATTTCCATTACATCTGTCTGCGTTAAGCACGCCCCCTGCCTCACCCTCCAGTGAGTTTCCTATGAGATGTCTTGGCAGGTTACTGCGGCTGAAAAAAAAAAAAATGGTGCAATAGGAAATGTACTTTTCTATCAAAAAAAAATTGTTGCAGCTTGCCAAAATATTATTACTCCCTCCCCCTGCTTCTTTGCACACCACCGTGGACATATGGTCTCCCTCCAGAATAGCGCCAACATGCCTGGCTCACTGCGCTGTGCCAGGCACTTGGCAGACGGGGTGCCGTTGAAACTTCACGACAGCCCTGGGACAGCGTCATTTTCTTTGTTCTACAGAGGAGGCTGTGACGCCTCCTAACCATGAGAGGTTTGCTCGGTGTCACACAGATGGGTCGGTGGAGCTGAGGCTCTCCGAGACCCCGCACACTGTCTGTGACAATGGTACTGGTCTCTGACTCCAGTTTTTAACAAAGCAACCCAACTTCCCTGTGCAGCTTGGGTTCTTTGTGCTAGTCAGTTGAATCCAGCAAGTATTTTATTATGCATACCTGCTCTTGGCCAGACCCATGCTAAGGGTGCAGAGGGCAACCCAGCACCAGGCCCGCCGGCATGGGGTGCACAGCCCGATGCAGCTGTCTCCACATTTCTGCAATGGTGATGCCCCCATCGCAATGCCAGCATTGTGGCACAGGATGCTACGCCGCCACCTCCAGAGCGTGCATTCCATATCAGAGCACCCCTTCGTGTCCTGGCTGCTCCACTTCTGAAGACCCAGAAGGAGCTCCAGGCTCCTGGCTTCGTCCTGGATCAGCCCTGGCTATTGTGTCCATCTGGGGAGTGAATCAGCAGATGGATGCTCTCTCCCTCTCTCTCAGGCCCTCCCTGCCTGTCAAATAAATAAAAATAAATTAAAAGAATTCTTTAAAAGAAAAAAGATTTTGCATCACAGTAATTCACTAAAACAAAATGTTTGCAAACAACACTTATATGTGAAACATTCATATGAGGGCACTAAAAAAATTCAAGGAAAATGGAATTAAAAGACACATTTAGGGGCTGGCATTTGACACAGTAGTTAAGATGCTGGGAATGCCCACATCCCATTTCAGAGTAGCTGGGTTCACGTCCTGGCTCTGCTCCCAATTCCAGCTTCCAGCTAACGTGTATCCTGGGAAGTAGCAGGTGACGGCTAAAGTACTTGTGTCCCTGCCCTCCACGTGGGACACCCAGGTGGAGTACCTGGCTCCCAGCTTTGGCCTATCCCTGGGGGTGATAAAAAATCTGTGTGTGTCTGTGTGCACATGTGTGCCTGTGTGTGCATCATCTTTCTCTCTCATAAAGACATTTGGAGAAAAAAAATTTTGTTACAGAAAGATTTAAAAGCAATACAATGAGGAGCCTTCAAAAAGTATTTACAAAATGTTCATTCTTTTTTAAAGAACTATGATTTCAAAAATCATTGCACCAAAATAATCTTTTAGTTTCATTTTTCCACAAACTTTTTGAGATAACCACATATTTCCTTAGTCTAGTCCATTTCAATAAAAATGCTAGTCATGGCATAAAAATTGATTTGGCTGCAGAGTAAGTCATAGCCCGTTGTTTGAAAAACTATAGCGTGAAAAAGAGAGATTTTATATAAATAGGTTTTAGCAGATGGGAGAAGTTCTGAATCTCTAATAAGAAACCACTGTAGTGCTGACGCTCACCAAACTTCTCCCTTCTGTGTGGGCTCCATGCAGCCCCATTTACCTCAAGCAACAACAGTGAAAATAATGTAAGACAAAATCTTTTCTTGCAAAAATTTCTTCAGGGGTCCTAAACATATCCATTTGTTCACGTGACAATTCGTGAAGCAGGGCTTGGAGACAGAATGCACTGATTGGCTGAGCCTAGGTCACGTCAGCCACTGCTGGCCCCTTAAGTGGAGTCAGCTGAAAACTACATAGAGACTCTCACAGGAAAGGGAAGGCATCCAAAAAATGTCTACTGCAGATATGCTGTGTACATCATTAGCCCTTTTTTCAAGATTTATTATTTATTTTATTTACTTTGAAAGTTAGAACAACAGAGAGAGAGACAGAGGAAGAGATCTTCCATCCACTGGTTCACTCCCCTAAATGACTACAATGGCCAGAGCTGGGCCAGCCCGAAGCCAGGAACATGGAACTCTATCCTGGTCTCCCACATGGGTGGCAGGGGCCCAAGTACTTGGGCCATCTTCTTCTGCCTCCCAGGCACATTAGCAGAAAGCTGGATGGGAAGTAGAGCAGCCAGGACTTAAACCAGCACTCTTAGATGGGAACGGGATGCTGGTGTCAGAAGTGGCAACTTAACCCACTACTCCATAGCGCTGGCTCCAGAGATTTATTTATTATTTATTTATTTGAAAAGCAGGGGCCCACTGTGGAACAGCAGGTTAAGCTGCCAGCTGCAGCACCAATATCCCATATGGGTGCCAGTTTGAGTCCTGGCAGCTCCACTTTCAATCCAGCTCCTTGCTAATGCACCTGGGAAAAGCAACAGAAAATGGTCCAAGTGCTTGGGCCCCTGCATCCACGTGGGAGACCTGGATGAACCTTCTAGCTCCTAGCTTCAGCCTGGCCCAGTCCTGGCCATTGCAGCCATCTGGGGAGTGAACCAATGGATGGAAGATATTCTCTTTTTATTAAGATTTATTTATTTATTTGAAAGTCAGAGTTACACAGAGAGAGAAGGAAAGGCGGGGGGGGGGGGGGGTCTTCCATCTGCTGGTTCACTCTCCAATTGGCCGCAAGGGCCAGAGCTACACGGATCTGAAGGGAAGAGCCAGGAGCTTCTTCCGGGTCTCCCACAGGGGTACAGGGGCCCAAGGACTTGGGCCATCTTCTACTGCTTTCCCAGGCCATAGCAGAGAGCTGGATTGGAAGTGGAGCAGCTGGGACTCGAGTCGGTACCCATATGGAATGCCAGCATTGCAGGTGGCGGTTTTACTCGCTATGCCACTGCACTGGCCCCTAACTTTGCCTTTCAAATAAATAAATCTTGAAGGAAAAAAAGAACAGAAAAGAAAAACAGAGTGACAGAGAGAGAAAGAGAGTCAGAGAGCTCTTCTGTGTGCTGGTTCATTCCCCAAAAGGCCACAGTAGCCAGGTCTGAACCAGGCCAAAGCCAGGAGCAAGGAACTCCACCCTGGTCTCCCACCTGGGTGGCCGAGACAGAAGTACTTAGGCCGTCTCCCACTGCCAGTCTCCACTGCCTTCCCAGGCATAGTATCAGGAAACTGGATCAGAAGAGGAGCAGCCAGGACCTGGACCAGTATTCCCATATGAGACGCAATGTCATAAGCAGCGGTTTAACCCACTGCACCACAGTGCTGGCCTAATCTTAATCTTGCCTTGAAGCCTGTGAGGTGGGGGTTGCTGACTCCATGTACAGAGGAGGAAAGAGGTAGAGTGGCCGACCCGCTAAGAAATGGTGAGGCTGGAATTAGGGCTCTGCCCTGTCTGAATCCGAAACTGTCTGTCTTGGATTTGGATGCACTTTGTAAAGACCAAGGCTGTCCACATGAGAAAGGGATGATTCTTGCTGGCATTTCATCACTCCCAGACAGCAGCAGTGACAGTCGGGATGGGGGGAAAAAGAGGAGCTTTTCGACTTGGGGGAAGCATCTACCGCAGAAGTCATAGAAGGAAGACTAGAACTCCCAGCTCTTCAGAAGAGCACTGTGGAAAAGCCCCTGATGAAGACCTTTCCAGCATTTTTCCTAAAGGCATGGAGGCAAGCTTCCCAGCTTCCATCAGCAGTCGTGACAGTCGCCCTGCTTTCCTGGGACTTGGCAGTGTTTCTGATCCAGGCTTCTCCTTGCAACCCCAAAGTCAGGCCCAGGCGCTTGGCAATAATGGGCCACTCAGAGTCCTCTTTCTTGTCCTTGTGCCTTGGCTTTCTGATTGCAATCCTCAGAGAACCAAATGCACCTTGCAAAATCCTGTCATTGCTTCCACTTCACATTTGATCATTAGCATCGCCAAGAAATGTTATAAAAATCCATTAGTACCATGTCTACGGATGTAGAAGATGGGAGGATAAAGACACAGAAGGCCGAGCGGCTTCCATGGGCTGTCAGAGGCACAGTCTTTGATCTCTGGTACAAGACAGCTCCATGCCCAGTGGCACTGTGGCCCTGGGGCTCTGGTCACTCCAGAAAGGGTCAGGAGAGGTGGGGAAGTGTATTTATTTGTTTTTAAGATTTATATATTTATTTGAAAGAGTTGCAGACAGAGAGAGAGCTTCCATCTGCTGGTTCACTCCCCAGATGGCCGCACCTGCCAGGGCTGGGCCAGGCTGAAGCCAGGAGTTACTTCCAGGTCTCCCGTGGGGGTGGCAGGGGTCCACACACTTGGATCATCTGCTGCTGCTTTCCCAGACCATTAACAGGGAGCTGGATCGGAAGTGGAGCAGCCACAACATGAACCAGCGCCCATATGGGATGCTGGAGTCACAGGTGGCAGCTTTACCCACTACACCACAGCGCCAGCCTGGGGAAGTTTGCTTCCAAAGTGAAGTCAAGTCAGTCAGTAAGAACTCTCCTTTGGCGCCGGCTGTGCTTTGCTAGAGTCCCCTGTTGATGATGAGGGTGCAAGTGGGGAGTCGGTGTCAGGGGTCATGGGTGATCCTACATACATCAACAGCCCGTACTCCAGTATTAGGCTGGAGGACTCGGGGTTGGAATCAGAAAGGGGAGTCGGGAAACCCAGGTTCTCCTAAGATTCCTGTCTCTTGGGTATATCCGCAGGAGGGAGGGGGTCCCGGGCCTCAGAGGCACACTGGGCTTTGACACTGTGAACCCATCGTCCCAAGTGCTGGTCCCCCCAGCAGCTGTCAGGGTCCTCCTCCCACTGCAGCCTGCCTCCGGCTGCCCCCTCCCCAGGACAAGTCACACCTGAGAGCCACTTACTCCACGGCGGTCTTTCTGCTTCTCTCCTGCCCAGACGTCAACAGCTGGCTGCTCACCTTCGGATTCCAGCTGCACAACGTGATCCCCGGCTATCCCCCACCGGACACCGACGCCATGGAACCCTCCTACGAGCTCGTCCACACTCAGATGAAAACGCAGGAGTGGGATAACAGCAAGGTACTTCCTATCCAAGGGTGCCCGTTCTGATGCTCCAGCAGGGGGCGCCACCAGCTTTGCAGGGAGGCTTGGGCCAGGGATCCAGACCCCTGTGGGCCTCCACTGCCCTGCAGAGGCTGTGCCACAGATGCCCAGTGGCTCTTCACAAACCGCCTTGAGGAGTTGCCTGTGTTGTTCTGTGGCATTCCACCAAACCCATAAGCCTTTGTCACTAGCCAGACAAAAGTGCCAGGTGAGAAGTGTGTTCTAAATACCAATGCAGCATTGTCTGAGCGCCACCTGGCCTTGTGTGAAATGTTCTGTATAACAAAGCTCGAGCTATCCCCCTGGTGTTACTGTTCCCATTTCACGGATTGAACACCTGAGGCCTTCCCCGTGTCACATAGCAAGGCTAGAGCAGGGATTTCCAACCCTGTTGTCTGGTCTGTATCATCCTGCTGAGTCCTGTACCTGGCCTGCTGTAGGTGCTCAAAAAAAAAAAAAAAAAAAAAAAAAAAAAAAAAGTTACTTTCTCTCAGCTTCCTTTTATGACAGTTTCAAAGACTCCAGTATCTTATAGCTGAAAATGTCCTTACAAACAAGCTCATCTCACCTGCTCGCTTCAGGCTTTCCTTGCTCATTTCTCCCCGCCTCCAGCCCTGACTCCATTCACAAATTCTGTGCAAGGAGCCGACTCCAGGCCAGGCCCTGGGCTGCAGTGAATCAGGCAGAGGCCAGGACTTTGAGGAAACCCAGTGCCGGGGCCAGCAGACTGAGGAGGAGAGCAGGTGGCACGCTGCTGGTGTCGCTCATTCCAGACCGAATCCCAGAGTCCTCAGCGTGCTGCCTCCCTCCCCCCAGCTCTAGAGCACCGGATTCCACCACTCTGTGCGCTGGTGGCTCCCTGGCTTTTTCCAGAGCTCTCCCCACACTGTATTCTACTTCCGGTGGCCTTTCCTTTCCCTCCACTACGGGCCGAGCCCCAAGAAAGTAAGTTCTGGGTCTCAGAGGTACCCGGCTAGCACACAGGTGCAGGGAGAGCCGGCAGCTGGTAAGGTAGGTGTCTGTCCCCTCCCCCGCCCTCCCCCTTACAGAGCAGGAGACCAGGGTCTCTCAGCTGGAAAGGAGCAGAAGGAGACCCCAAGCCTGCCCGGCCACACAGCCCCTCCTCTTTCTGGCGCTCCGGGCTGGCCCTGCCCTCTCTGGGGCCAGCGCCTGTGGTTCCAACAGCCAGCTCTTCTTCCCCCACCCCCACCCCCACCCCCAGCCAGGCTCCCTTCTGCACCCCACGCAGCCCGACAAGGCCTGCCTGTTTGCCAGCCTCGCCTGTCAATGAATTATTGATTTCTGCCCTTGGCAAGCATCGGAGATCTTTGTTGTTGAGCACTCCAGCTTTTGTGAAACTCTAGGAAATAATTGCTCACAGACAGGGTTCTATTAATTATAAAGAGGACTTAATTTCAGCGAGAAGCCGATAGGCCTGTTCCTAAGGCCATTTCTCTCTGTCGCTGATGAGGCCCTGGAGGCTTCCTGAGCTCCCTGGTCCTTGAGCTCAGGTGGTTAGGAGGCCCCCCCACCCCCGTCCCCCAGAGCAGCCAAGAGCAGGGGTGCCGGAGGGTCCCCCAGAAAGCACTGCGGGACAGAGGCCCTCCTTGAAATTCGTGTACTGAGATGCGTGCCGCACGGGGAGCAGTAGAACAGGGTGTTCAGAAAGTTCACAGAGAGGTAGTTAGAAGGTAAGTTTCAGGACGGACGTTTGGCATCGCAGTTCATCACTGCTTGGGACACCACGGCGTGCGTGCGTCAGGGTGCCTGGGTGCTGCTCCCGATTCCGGCTTCCTGCCGCTGCTCTCTCTGGAAGGCAACAGGTGACGACGGCTCAAGTCATTGGATCCCTGCCATCCGTGCAGGACACCCTGGCTTCTGGCCTGGCCCAGCCCAGCCCCTCCTGGTGTGGGCATTTGGAGAGTGAGCTAGTAAATGAAAAGATTCTCTCTCTCTCTCTCTCTCTCTCTCCCTCTCTCCCTCTCTCCCTCTCTCCCTCTCTCTCCCTCTCTCTCCCTCTCTCTCCCTCTCTCTCCCTCTCTCTCCCTCTCTCTCCCTCTCTCTCCCTCTCCCTCCCTCTCCCTCTCCCTCCCTCTCCCTCCCTCCCTCTCCCTCCCTCCCTCTCCCCCCCTCTCTCCCCTTCCTCCCCTCTCTCCCCTCTCTCCCTCCCTTCCTCCCCCTCCCCGCTATCCCTCTCTCTCTCTCCCCAGCTCTGGAGCGTGGGATTCTGCCACTCTGTGTGCTGGTGGCTCCCTGTCTCTCCCTCCACCAAAGCTCTCCCCACACTATCTTCTACTTCCATGTGCCTTTCCTTTGTCTCCTCTTTTGCTCTCCCTCTCTCTCTCTTCCTCCCTCCCTCCCTCCCTCATTCTCCCTCACTCATTCTCCCTCCTTCCCTCTCTGCCTTTCAAAAAAAACAAACAAATGAATTAATGAATTTTTAAGATACATTTATTTATCTAAAAAAATTTTTTTGAGATCCATGCACAGCTTTTCCATAACCATCTGTACCATTTGCCTTGGGCTTTTCAAGGTCCCCTTGTAGAAATCGCCACCATTTGTCTCAGTGTGCCTCCATGCCCAGAATGCACTCCTTGCCATCGCTCCCTCTGGCATCGTCCCACCCATGCTTCCAATCCCAGCTCACACACGAGCCTGTCCTCACTTCCCACACTCCCCGCCTTCAGGCCGAGCCGCTTCGGCTCCTCCCGACTCCAGCCCTGGACACTGAGCTGGGTGTGACCGTTCACTTGTTGTTATCAGCCATTTGACTGTGGGTCAGCTCCAAACTCTCTCAGCCTTCATTTCCTTAGAAAGAAGATCAGAGTCACGCTAGAACCTGCCATGTAACGTGACTGTGAAGATGAGATGAGGAGGGCGAGAGCCTCTGCTGTTAGCTCTCCTAGAGCGCTGGTTGATGTCCGCCGTCCTATCTATCTCGCCCTGCCCCATTTTGGTGTCTCTAGAGTTCAGAAAAGGACCTGGCACAGTAAGATGCTCCCTGGACAGCGTCTGAAGGGCAGGCTGGTGGTCGGCAGTAGGGCTGCTGGTGTAGACCTGACCTAGCCACTGAAGCTGCGTGTTGGGGCCTTTTCCCCTTTGCCTTACTCTGTCTCTCTCCTCCCCTCTCAGTCTATCCTCGGGGTGCAGTGTGAAGTGCAGAAGCAGCTCAAGGCCTTCATCACCTTAGAACGCTTCGACCAGCTCCATGGCTCCACCATCACCAGCTGCCAGCAGGCCCCAGAGACCAAGAGGTTTGCATCTGGTGGCTCCGTCTTCGGCAAGGGGGTCAAGTTTGCCTTGAAGGATGGCCGGGTGACCACAGATATCATCAGTGTGGCCAACGAGGATGGGCGGAGGGTGGCCGCCATCTTGAACAACGCCCACTACCTGGAGAACCTGCACTTCACCATCGATGGCGTGGACACCCACTATTTCGTGAAACCAGGGCCCTCCGAAGGCGACCTGGCCATCCTGGGCCTGAGTGGGGGGCGGCGGACCCTGGAGAACGGCGTTAACGTGACCGTGTCCCAGATCAACACGATGCTCAGTGGCAGGACTAGACGGTACACAGACGTCCAGCTGCAGTACGGGCCACTGTGCTTGAACACCCGCTACGGGACGACGCTGGACGAGGAGAAGGCGCGGGTGCTGGAGCTGGCCCGGCAGAGGGCCGTGCGCCAGGCCTGGGCTCGCGAGCAGCAGAGACTGCGGGAAGGGGAAGAAGGCCTGCGGGCCTGGACCGAGGGGGAGAAGCAGCAGGTGCTGAACACAGGGCGGGTGCAAGGCTACGACGGCTTCTTCGTGCTGTCGGTGGAGCAGTACCCAGAACTGTCGGACAGCGCCAACAACATCCACTTCATGAGACAGAGCGAGATGGGCCGAAGGTGACAGAGAGGGCCGAGGCCTGGACTTCTTGCCAAAGACAGCTACTCTTTTGTGGCCACACACCTGACTGTGTTGTACTTTAAAAACAAAAGAAAAAAATCATTTTTTTAACAAGTGCAGAAAACAAACAAAAAAGATACTGGTTGCATTGTAATTCATGCAACATGCTTTTTTTTAAGAAAAACACAGATTTGGCCTTCACACATTTTTTGCAAAGAACAGAAGGTATTTTTTTCTGTAGTGTGATCACAATGAAAACTTTATTGTCTTTCGTTCCCTTTTCCCTCGAGGATTCTTCCTTGTTGTTTGGGGTCCGTTCCTCCTCTCTGAGACGCATCTCCTGGGGGGTGTCCCTCGTCTGTCCCCAGGTCCCCAGTGTGATGTGAGACACGAGTGTCTGTGCTAACTTGTCTCCTGTGCGACTCTTTCTGCTTCGATCGGGCAAGAGTGAGGGGTGCGGAGATTCCTGGGCTGGCACGCACCCCCCTCTCCAGGGGAGGAGGCTCCGTAGCCAGGCTCCTGCGGACCAGTGGTGGGTCTGTCCTCGCTGTGCTCCGTGCCTCCGGAGAACCACAGACGGCTTCATCCTGCTCCAGGAGTTTCACGATGTCATTCAGCACTTTGTTCAAGCTCCTCCCCCGCCCCCCTCCCCGCCCCCGGCCCCTGTCTAAGCTTCCTATTTCGATGCTCAGTGAGACCCCTGCCCCTTTTGCAAAACCTGTGTCGTTGTCCCCCATGCTGGGATAGAGAAAGTGTCTCCCGGGGTCCTCCCCCTGCCCCACCCCTGCCCCCACGAGTGGGGTGACAACATCCTGGGGCCGGGAGCCCTGTCCTCCCCAAGGGGTGAACGCATCCAAGACGTCTGTGATTGCTTGATCCTTCATCGTGTTCCCTGTTCTCCTCCTCCTCTCTCCCAGAGCCAGCTGTGGGGAGCAGCACTGGGCGCCGCGGCAGAGGATGGTAGTGGTGGCAAGGGTACCGCCTGCCTTCCCAGGGGAAGCCCCGTCCCCTTGACCTTGGGTATCTCCCTCCACTGCTCAGGGGCCACCGCTGAGACATGGGAGTGTGGAGAGAGGTGCTCGGCGGCCTTTGATTCGGGAAAGATGCTTAAGACGACAAGTCAGCCAAAGAGAGGAAGGTGTGAGCCAAGCACCCTTCTGAGCAGTTCCTGAAGTCCCCAGGGCCTCGCCTGTGCCTGCAGCCGCAGAGCTGGGGGCAGCGGAGGGGCTCTTCAGGGCGCCCCTCCTGTGAAGCTCCTCTGAACAGCTTCCCTAAAGGAGAACCCCAGCCTGCATTTCCTAAAGGCTCAGGAGAAAGGAAGAGCGAGCTGATGTGGGGCGGCCTGGCAGTATCATACAACCCCAGCAGGGTCAGAATGGCCGCTGAGGCTGACACCCCCGGAGACCCGGCAGGTCAGGCCTGCCCTGCTTCTGCATGTGTCACCGGGAAGCAGGTCCAGCCCACACCGGAGGGCATGGCCACATCAGCAGGCCAGGCCAGGGAAGCCTTGGGGGCAAGGGAGAGCCACAGCAAGAGCGAGGAGCTCCCAGTGAGAGGATCCCAATCCAGGGTCATCCACCTGCTGACCGTGGTCATCACCGCTCACAGGAGGCTCTGGGAGACAGGACAGGGAGCCAAATGCTTCCTTTGGAGTTGGGCTTCTTAGAAAATGGAACTTTTATGGGTTACATTTACATTAAGTGTGGAAAATGAATTCTGAGTCTGAGCTATTCCCCGTGGAAACCTTGTTGGACTGATAAGCTCATGGCACCTTTATAGCCTTATTCATGGAGTCTTCAGAATATTACACGAGTTAATGAAACCGAGCAGGTCTCTCAGTGCGTGAGAATCGGAGCAGCGTGCAGGCTGGGTTCTGCCTGGCAGAGGGAGGCATCCAGAGCTCCTGGGGGAGAGGAGATTTCGCCTTACGTCATCCCACTGGGATTAGAGGATGTGTTTCGCTAAGTGCTCTTCCTGTTTCCAGAAAAAAAGTCACACTGCCGCAACAGTGTGCCTTGGCCTGTGTGTCCACTGGTTGCCCGTGGCCTCTGGAGCCAGAGCTACGCGGGGTCAGACACAGTGACCCTCGGGCCCCACCGTGCACGGCATGAGCTGGCGATGGTGCTCCCGTCTGGCTGGACCGCTCCTGGATGCCATGGAAAACAGTCTGGCCTAAAAAACCCAAGTTGTTATTTTTTTTAATCCAAAAGAGACTTGGGCTTCACAAGATGTACTCTTGATATGTGCAGCACCCCTGGGCAAAGGCCTCCTTCTGCCTATTGGCCCAGTTGATCAGCCTCATCCTGGCCACCTGCCATAGGTCAAGACCAGATGGGGGTGTCTACTTGGAGGTCAAAGCACGTGGTCAAGGGAACCATCTCGCTACCCCTCCCCGGCCCCTCCGGCCCCGGTCCCCACAGGAATAGTGTGATCTGCTAAGGATCAAAAACACAGACAAGATTGAACATCAGGAATGATCTTCCGTTTTCCCTGGGCTGCAGACCACCAAGGAGGCCCAGGTACGGGGGTGGAGGGGGCAGAAGTTCAAGCACACCCAAGCCTTAGAGAAAGGATCTCAGTGCGGGGGCGGGCAGCACCATGCACCTTGGTTTCACCTTGGTGCTGTTGTATTGCAGCTGCTCTGACTCTGATCCTTTTGAGTTGGTTCGCATTGGGGCTGGGAGGTAACACAGGCCCTGCCCTCGCAGCCTGGCCTCCTACTGAGACCAGCAGTCCCAATCCCACGAAGGTGAGTTGGAAGGCAGAAGCCGGAGTCCCCTTTGCCTCTTTAGTGGACTCCCAGCATCAAATCCCATCCCTGATGGCACCTGTCCTTTTGGCACCCCCCAAACTCAACCTGTGCCCTCGTTGGAGTGGCCAGCCCTCCCTCCCACACTGGCCCGGGGTCATGCTTCTGCAGCACATTGCCTTCTGACCCTAGAAAGAGATTTATTTTAGGGCAGTTTCTGCCTTCTTGCCAACCCTCCACAGCTGCCAGTCATGCCCCGGTCCCCAGCCCCTCCGCCACCTTAGGACTTGGGTGGTCCTCAACTTCAGTTTCTATAGCATGAGCTTTTCTCTGCTCTCCCTGGAGGGCAGAGCGATGACAACAGAAGGAAGGGGAGCCGGAAGTCGCGCCTGGTCAGCCTCTGACCCTGGTCTCAGAATTGCTCGCTGAGCACTACGCCAAGGACCGCACCAGTGCCTGACTTCCTCTTGGAGAGGGAGGATTCGGAGCAGTCCCTCAGGGAGCAAGTGTCCAGTGGCTGAGAATGGCCGGGAGGTGTGTGTGCTTCCAGTCCTCTGCATGGCATGGGGCTGGTGTTTTATGAGTGCACGACAAAGAATCGAAATTTGTTTTAAAATAAAAAGGACCTTTGCAGCTGTGACTTTCAAGAATCACCTTTCTAGATGGCAGGGATTTCCTTTATGCAAAGAGAAGGCTTGCAGTGTGAAGCAGTGGAATGCAGCGTTCCCGTCTGCAGCCTTGTGCCTGCGGCCAGCAGCCAGCACGTGAGCCTGCTGGCCCTCAGCAGGGGCCCCGGCTTTGGGGGTTGATCACCCAGTGCCCAAGGCCAAGTCGATTCTTCATTCCTCCCAGCAGCCACTAGTCCTGGAGGTGGCTCCTGGTCCTGGTCAAAGACCCACCTCCTGAGGGGTCCCAGAGAGAAGCTGCTCTGTCTCTCCTCACTGGGACTAAATGCCCTCCTTACGTTGCAGGCACCTCATTCCCAGCCAGATTTATACACTTGTCTATATTTTATTGGAGGGGAGGGGATTTAAAAAAAAAAAAAAAGAACTTTGCATCCGGGGCCCTTGCATTTAACCTTCCAAAAACAACAAACTCATTTTAAAGACTCATTGCTCAGGTGACGGAGAGACCAGACCCTTGATCCTCTCCAACCTTTACATTCTGAAACCAGCCTCGTGCCCCGGACTGCCCTGCCGATGGGGAGCTCTTCAGTTGCGTTAGGAATGTGGAAGATCCCAGTGGGAGAGGCCCGGGTGGGGCCAGTTTGCATTTCTTGATCCTTGCAGAATGCCAAAGGCATGAGACTGGGCGACCTCCTGGTCCCCAACACAATGTGATTTCTTCTAGGGCAAACTGCTGAGGGAGGAGTGAGCCTGCACAGGTGCAGCTCCCCCTGGCAGAAGCTGAGTGGCAGGTGCCTGGCGGTGCCCCATGGCCCTGGATTCACACAGCGCCAGAATCCCACGTGTCCACATCTGCCCGTTGTCCTGAGGACTTCAGAGCCTGCGGCTCGGGCGAGAGGACTTTGCACCGAGCTGCCTCTGGGTGAGCCACCCTGGAGACTCCGGCCTTACCACGTGGAAATCGTTTTCCTGAAGTCTGGAACTAATTTTGAGAAGTTTTTTTTCTCAACACTTTTGTGTTTCTAACACTGTATTCTTGACTGTGTAAATACCAACAAGGCTGTAAATACATACAGATGTAGATACCTTCTAGAAAAACAAACAAAACCAGAAGTGACCCCGTGTAGCCTTCGTTGACAAATAAAAGAATATTTTGTGTTTAAAGGTGTCTGGTGTGCTTTGTTCTGGATGGCTTCCTCTGGCCTGTCCCAGCCGGAGCTCTCGCCGGGGTGTACACTTCCTGGTGCTGGCTAACAGCATGGCAGACAACTCTGTCCGAAGCCCCCAGCTGTCCTGGGGAGGGATTCCAGAGGGCCATGAGGACCCAGAGGCCCAACCTTGCGGCTGGATAAGTATCAGAGCACCAGTGACGTCAGCACGCTACTGCTGCGTGGCTTCCCCAGGCCTCAGCCTGTCCCTGCTGCTGTCCGCCCTGGCCTCAGAGACAGACTCCAAGGGGCAAGAGAGTGAGGCCCTCAGGGTCATCCCAATGCCAGTGCCTTCCACAAGGGGTACAACTGGTCACACTCTAAAAATAAACGCATGTGTCTCCAGCCTACAGCTTATGAGGAAAAAAAAAGGAAGGAAGAAAATGCTTTTAGCATTGGGTTTTCTTCCCCATGTATTGTTCATGGCCTTTATTTTTTTTTTCAACTCAGGCGGTTGCAATCACACCATGCAGGTAATTTTTCATCCTTCTCTTCTCACTTAACCTCACATTTAACCTGGCAGCTAGGAGTCAGGGACGACAGCTGGTCTCCCAGGAAAGCACATTTGCCAAGCCCGGCTCCCAGGTGTGATGGCGAACCTTATGAAAATTCAATTACTTGCCTTTTAAGACAGGAGTAAGAATAGAAAGCTCGTTCCCTTCCTTAGCTTCAGGACTGAGGCGCCAGCAGGCCCCATCCCTTCCACCTTGGCCATGGGGGGACATGGCGGCGGGGGGGGGGGGGGGCTCCAGGCCTGGCTGCCCAGGGGTGGGGCACCGGCAGTGGTGGGGGAAAAAGAAAATAAAACCATGCTTTGGGGGTCAAGCCGAATTGGATGCAGAATTTGATGCTAGCACATCCTGTGTGATCTTCCAGATGCCACTCGGCCCACCAAAGCCAGGGGTCTTCCATCTACAAGGGAGGTAATACACTTCCTGGGCGCAGCCCTGGTCACCTCTAAGAGAGGGCGCAGGGGAGCTCGTGGTTCAGACACTGCAGGCACCGAACCGACACAAGCGGCCCCTCCTGCCTCTCCCCATTCCCAGCCCTGCCCACCCACCTCACCCCTCCAGCCTGCAAAGTCCAGTGCTCTTCACACCACCCCAGCAACCCTCAAGTTGTAGCCCGCGTCACAATCACCAAAGGGCTTACTAAAACCCAGACTGGGAGCCGGCGCTGTGGTGTAGCTGGTAAGGCCTCTGCCTGCAACACCGGCATCGCATATGGGCGCCGGTTCAGGTCGCAGCTGCTCCACTTCTGATCCAGCTCCCTACTAATACATCTGGGAAAGCAGCAGAGGATGGCCCAAGTATGTGGGTCCCTGCCACCCATGTGGGAGACACAGAAGAAGCAACTGCCTGGCACAGCCCCTGCTGTTATGGCCATTTGAGAAGTGAACCAGTGGATGGAAGATTCTCTCTCTCTCTCCCTCTTTCAATTAAATAAAAAATGAGTCTTTAAAAAAAAAAAAAAAAACAGACTGCAGGGCCCGACCCCAGGAGCTCTGAATTAGTAGGCACAGGGTGTGTTTCATGATCTGCAGCTCTAACGGCTTCCCAGGTGCTGCTGGTGCCCCATCAGCTCGGCCACTGCTAACAGGCTCCTTCAATCTGAGTGCAGAATAAGCTACTTAGCCGGGCGCTTCAGACGCCCTTAACTGGAGAAACCTGCCACCCAGGGAGCAGGCGCACTGGGCCCTGCCCGCCTCCCGTGCCCTTCCTCCCTGCGTGCCCCACCGTGGGCCGAGAGGCAGTCAGCCCCTGCTGCCAGGTGTGCCTGAGGCTCTCACACCTGGGGGCACGGCCTGGGGGAGGGGGCGGGGTGGAGAGCTTGGCCAGCTCCTTCTCAGCATACCCCGGGACGGGGGGGGGGGGGGGGGGGGGCCTCACCTCCCGCTGGAGCCCACCCTCCAGGCTGTGTGTGGCTCCGACTTCCGGTCCGTCAGGCCATGGCCAACACATCTAAAGGAAAAGACTTTAACCATGAATACCAGCATGTCTTTTCTCACTCCCAGAGAAGCGTGTAGTGTATATGTGTGTGCTAACTCTTGTTTAAGATTTTATTAAAGAGGCAGAGTTACAGGCAGAGACAGACTGGGGGTGGGGAGGCCGGTCTTTCATCTACTGGTTCACTCTGCCGGAGCTGGAGTTGGGCCGATCCAAAGCCAGGAGCTTCTTCTAGGTCTACCCTCGCGGGTGCAGGGGCCCAGACACCTGGACCATTTTCCACTGCTTTTCCAGGCCATAGCAGAGGACTGGATGAGAAAAGGAGCAGCTGCGACACGAACCAGTGCCCATACACAATGGCAGCACCACAGGCGAAGGCTTAGCCCACTGTGCCACAGTGCCGGCCTGTTACCAGCTCCTTAGACTCTCCACTTGGTCCCACCCGACGCCGGTCTCAGTCGGCACAGATCTGTCTCTCAAAGTTTCTTCTTCCAAAGCCCACACTGGAAATCTGTCCACCTGTGGGAAACACCCTCCCTTCCCAAGAGTATAGCCCACTGCTGATGTCTCGAGTCGGGATTCCGCAGCGTGGGCTGCTCCAGCCCCCAACCTTCCACCTTGCACCGTCCTCCGGGCAGCAGGAGCTGTGTTCCTCGTCCCTTCCAGAAAGCAGCACACAGCCGGGGAGGGACACGGGCATCTGGGCAGGCTTAACCCCATTGAGAAGAACAGAAGCCCCTTCCATGGGGTGGGCACTGTGGCACAGCCGGTTAAAGCCCCAGTCTGCAGCACCGGGGGTGCCAGTTCGAGTCCTGACTGTTCCACTTCTGATCCAGCTCTCTGCTATGGCCTGGGAAGGCAGTAGAGGATGGCTCAAGTCCTTGGGCCCCTGCACCCGTATGGGAGACCAGGAGGAGGCTCCTGGTTCTTGGCTCCTGGCTTCGGATCAGGTCAGCTCTGGCCGTTGTGGTCATTTGGAGAGTGAACCATTAGATGGAAGACCTCTTTCTCTCTCTCTGGCTCTGCCTCTCTCCCTTTCAAATAAATAAAGATCTTAAATTTTTTTTTTTAAAAAAAGCCCCTTCCTTCCCCCTGCAAGTCAGTAGCAGACATTGTATGTAGAGCTTTCAAAATGCGCCCATCCCCCCGGACGGCCCCGGGACGGGCCGGGATTGGCAGAGGTCAGAAGAGTCCCAGGAGAAGCTTTGACCTTCCTCCCAATAAAGATCAGTTGCAGGTGCTTTGAATATGAATGAGTGGCTGGGAAGAAAGTGTGGATGAGGCTGGAGTGAGTGCATGCTGTAGCCAGGCCCTTGATGAGTCCGCTTGATCAGCAACCATGTATGGTGTGGAGCGCAGCTGCCCCAAGCAACCCTGGATCTAAAGATGTAGCCCAAGACCCTTAGAATCATCACCACCTCATCAGAGTTGAGAGCGGTTCAGAAGAGACTCGGTGATGGTAGGGACATGGTCTATTCACAATTCCAGAAGGTCCAGCACCCAGGCTTGGTGGAGAGGAGGCCCATGTCTGGTGTCAAAGGCATCAGAAGCCTGGGCCCAGTCCAGGGCACAGGCTGTTGTCAGTTCTATAGCAGAAGCGAGGCAAGCACCACAGCCTGTGCGTGATGACGTAAACTGCGTGGTGCAGAATCCCATCACGTCCAGAGTCAGGCCAGGCCCTGAGGGGAGGTATCTGAGCCTATCTGGGTAGAGGGGCAAGCAAGACAAGGCTGCCAACCTGGTGGGTGAGCTGGGAAGTTGATGCCCTGGTGTCCACCACTGGCTGGCATGGATGTCATTGTGGGAAGAGCCAGGCTCTGAGGACTGAGGCTCAGCCCTGGCCCGTCACTATGACCCTGTTTTAGCAGGAGCAGCCTCAGCTCCAGTGCCCAGCCCCTGCTGTGACTAAGGCACCTCATGCACCCCAGCATGAGCAACCTGTGAGTCTGAGTAGACACTCAGTGACTCGAGCCAGGTTGGGGCAGGCAGGTGCCCAAGTGCTGGGAAAGTGGGCCCGGAAAAGCCCCTTTCTGCAGTATCAAGGAAGGAGAGCCGGAGTGGGGAGAAGCAGACCTGGGTGGGGGGGCGTTTCCTGGGAGAGGTGGGTTGGGTGAGCAGGAAGCAAAAATTTCACTGCACTCCCATCTAGCGTGTCTCACCTTTTCACACAGCAAAACCCGAGACGCTCCATGTTCCCAGGCAGGACCCACCATCTAGGGTGTGCGTGGAGCTGGTGTAGTGCAGCTGGGCTTTATGTACCGCCCCAGCCAGCAGGAAAGCCACCTCCTTCTGCCCGCCCCCCGTGCAAGTGAGGGAGGGTGACCAGGCTCCAGGGAGGATGTGCAGTGTGCTCTAATCTGAGTCGTTAATTTGCAAAGCGGTACTTGATTATTCATGGTGACCCTCCCGACAGGCAGTCTTGGTACAAGTGTATTGAATGCATCTCGCACATGGGGATTCTGTGAGCTTCTCCAGGGTCTGGGAGATTCTGCCCCTCGCCTTCCTGGCTCCCCTGATGCAGCTGAAGCCCACGGAGCACTCAGGAGGTGCTCGCTGGGTGTCCCCACCTGTGGCCATCCTCGCTAAGTGAACACCGTCCCACGTCTGCACCTGTTCACTCTGATGAGTTCTTTCCAAGAACAGGCAGTGTGGCTCAGTGGGGAGAGCTCAGTAGACACAGTAGGTGTAGGCTCTAGATCTCATTTGATGCTGCAGTTTTCGTGGTAGGCTTCATGAGCTGTGTAAGCCCTGGAGATGTTCGTGGCTGTGCTAGGAAGTGATGGAGTCAAAACTTGGATCCTGGTTTCCCTAACTCCAAGTTCAATGCTTTTATCTTAAGAAGTAGGAGAATTTGTGATGTAAGGGCTGCACACACTGAGAAGTCTGAGGCTGGAGAACACCTCCCAGCAGGCAGGAAATCCCATCGACAGAAGCGAGGTTCACCTGAGACCACTCAATTGCAGACTCAGAGCTGGGTCTTTGGGTGCCGTCACCTGTGCTGTCGCCCAGA